TGCCTAGAAAACTAATTAGGCAAAGAAAAAAAGTCCTCCTACTCTGTGTACCCGCTCACCAAGGGATTGAAGATAATGAAAAAGCAAACAATCTAGCTAGAACAGGAGCAAACACTTTACTAATTCAACCATCAGGACTGTTCTGCTTTCCAAGCAGAAACCAACTTAAAGGTGAACCTGGAGGACTCCATCCGTAACCTGGAATGGGAATCCACCAACGGCCTAAGACACACGAAAAAGTTCCTCCGAACTTACGACCGAGAAAAATCAAAGATTTTTCTTGATTCAAATGAGAACAATCTTCAGATTGTCACGGGGTTTCTAAAAGGGCACTGTCTCCTCAACGAACACCTCAGTAGATTGAAGCTGAGAAACAACGGCAAACCAGAGCACCTCATCATAGTGTGTGCGCCGAGACAACAACCGTTCGTGCCATATACTTTGGTACGGCTGATGTTGAAGTTGGAGGGCTGGCCTCTGTGGAGCCGTCTCAGATACTGGCCTTTACCAAAGTCCTGAGACTGTATGATAAGTTATAATCCGCAATAACTGAAGAAAGAGGAACACATTATGGTGATTAAACCCCCTCCTAAACATTCTACATTCTACATCCTAACGCAGTGGTATTTTACCAAATAATTATAAATTTTCATTTCCTAAATTTCTGATTCAGTGGTAAAATTAATTCTTAAGTTTTTTTTTCAAGTAGATCATGGATGGATTACCGTAAACCTTGTAGGTAATTTATGGTGTGATATGAATATTAGTACTCTCATTTTATCTTCCTTTGTATACATTATATTCACATTAAATATTTCGGAAATTCATCTAAAAGGAATTTTGGGTACAGTTTTACTTACGATTACTAAAATCTTAATTTAAACTAAGGATAATTCAAACATAAATCTTGACATAAATAACGTTTAATCCAGTACTCTGACAAATAATTGACCTACCAATGTAATTAGGATAAATAATGTTAGACTACATAGTTATTTTGACGCATTAAAAACATGACAAATTAGAAGACAAAAACATCAAAGCAACGAGAGCTGATTCATTTCACATAGTACAGTGAGTATACTCTCATTAAACTTGGTTTAGTTAACGACTGTATTTAATAAATATTCTTCACGCGTATTTACTGCAGCTTATTAATAAGGAAAAGTCTGAACTTTTGCCAGTAACCAACATTTATATGGCAGTAGTTCCTCAATAGTTTGCTGTTCACTTCCTTAATGGCATTAGTACTAATTTAGAGCTTATCTATCCGATTATACTTATATAAAAAACTGAAAACTAGAATAAAATTAATTAATGATTTTTTTAATAATATTTAAACATTGAAATATACCTCCTTGGACTGGCATTGTCTTTAATTTTGAATTTTTACATGTCTTGGCCAGTTGTGTCAATTACTGTTATCAAATGTAAACTAAAAATAAGCCAAATCCTAAAATTATAGAGTTTATAAACTAGCGCAAGTTATTGGCCAGTAACGGAGTTATGTGCAGTTAAATGTTATGTTGTCCATTTAAGGATGCCAGTATTATGGACGACAGCCCATTTGTAAATGGTTGCCATATTGTGGACATTTCCACTGTATAGGATTGCTGGATAACATGGTCTCTTTAAAGTTCCTTTTTTTTCCAATGGAATTCCTTGTTGAAAATTCAGCGTTTCTCCTATTTATGTTGCGTTACTTGGCCCACGCTTGGTTTGCCATATTTTACTTGATTCCACTTATGCCTGTTAAATCGTACCTTTAGGGGATATTTTGTCCCTTCAATATATGATTTATCGCGTTCTGTATACCTGGTAGTTACACCCTTTCTTTTGTTTTAATTTATACTGTTTGGATAATCGCTTAATATTTTAATCTTTTGTAATGTTATTTTTGTTATTTTTTAAAATTCATTTAAATATTATTTAATTCAGAAATAAGTGATGCTTGATTTCTTGATCACTACGTATGATGCTTGCTCGAATGGGTAACGTTGACTATTCTTCCTTTGCTTCCTTGAGACTGGTTTGACTGTAAACTTAAATAAAATCCCGAATGTGTTGGTTTCTTTATATACAAAGGTGCTAATGAATCCATAGTTTCTGCTTACAAGTATATCAGAAAACGGCAGACAGAAGGAAGATTTTCTTATTTTTTATTATCACACTTGATAATGATCAGTGCCATGAAGATATTTTATTTCATAATCAGTCTACCACTTTTAAAAAAAGATTCAAAAGTTACTTAATACTGTTCTTTATTAATTTTAAATCTCAATATGTTTTCTAAATATATTTTAATTTGATGATTTTAACTAAAGTTTTTTGCTACTTATTTGTTACTCGCTACTTTTACTACTAGTATAATTCAGGCAACTCTACTACTATACTATACATTCACTATATTTTATTATTATTATTGTAGTGTATAACTGGTAGATTATATAATGGAGAAATTTTTGTTATGAACTCTGAAACAATAAATCATTAATCCTGATAATTTCAGTCAGGATTATGGAGCAAAAAAAATTAATTTATCTGTTAAAAATCAATTTTAATCATGTACTGCTGATGCTGATTTATTATAATTGTCTTTCTAGTGCCTTTAGGTATTAAAATGAAATTTTAAGGGTAAACGTTACTTTAAGCAACATATTTTAATGCTAAAAGAATGTCATCTTCACCAGAAACCACCGGAATATTTTTCTAAAAAAAATATACGCCACTGATTTTTAATCTTGTCAGTAAAATTCTGTAGACATTTTAATGACAATTAAAAGTTGTCTCTAAATATTTTGTGCATTTCTATCTCCTTGATAAGATAAACGCATTTTTTTTTAATCCAACAAAATGTTCTAATGTTATTAACTGGCTCATGGATTCCTCAATAAAAAATGTGAAAACAAAATCGCATAAATATAGGTGCGGAAATGCACAGTTTCAAAGTTACAAGATGTCAAATCTTTCAAAAATGAGGTCTTTGAAAAAAGAAAGAAAAGCCAGTGGCGCACATGCTTTTTTTTAGAAAACAATTCCAGTGATAACCAATATGCATGTCCCTGATGAATATGTCGGGACTTATAGGAACTTTTACATTCAAATTTGACTGGAATATCTAAAAGCACTTAAAGGAAAATTATAATAAACCGAAAATAAATGAAGACTTTAACACCCTGTATCTACGAAACAAAGCAAAATCCGACCTATGTTGATATAAAATATAAACCTTATTTTTACGGGAGGAATTTCTACACAAAAGATGGCACATGTTTTCTGAAACATCATGTATAGAGAAAAATCATGATTATAGATTTTGTTACATAGATGTATGCACATTTGTTAATATAGTTAAATCTTTTAAAATTCTTAATAAATCGTACTGTAACATGGTGACTTAAGTGAAGGTTTTTTTATCGGGCCCCATATAAACAAGCAGAACTTAAACCAAAAAGCGAAGGACAACAACTTGAAAGGTCTTAATGACTGTTAGCTCGGTGCATCGGTGCATCCGCCAAAGCGATGTTTTACATTTACTGCCGTATAAAGAACGTCGGCTTTGGTGCCCAAGATTTATTTGGACCGCTTTAAAATAATAGTACCTACAAGGGGTTTTCTGTACGGCACCGAGACGCGAGATGTGACTCCGTCCGCCATGAACTGCAGGTTTTATACTCCGCTTGACTCCGCTTTGACTGATCTGTTACAATATGTCTTCGAGCGTTATAATAAACAATTATTCACGTTTTATTTATAGAATGACATGTTTCCTTAGAAAATATTTATGTCTGCAAGTCTGATTCTTTGAGGATGTTTATTTAAATGTGTGTTACTGTTAAACAGTGGTGTATAAATGTTAAAAATATTCAAAATTTTTAATTAAAATAAATTGTTTGAAAAACTTAGTTGTGCTTAAGAATGTAATAAAAAAATAACCTAAATTAGTTTGTTTATTTAATGTTATATATTTATCGGAGTACACCTCCACCTATGAATACCTGAAAAACTGTCAAGCTCATGTCATAAGTTGAGTTGTCAATAATTTGTAATTTTGAAATGGTATTTTAAATAAAAGTAGAGTTTAGTGCACTTTCTATATCTATAAACCCCCCAAGAAACATAATAGTGGTGTCAGAAGTCGGATCCCCAGTAGCACAAGATATCGGCCCAATATTTAGGATATGTTGGGTAAAAGTTGCAAGCTGGCCCAATATTGCCGATTTTTAGCCAATATTGGTAGTTGATTGTCAATAAAACTTTTTCCTTTATTATAATTCTATATTTTCACAATAACGTACCAATATTTATATAATGCATAATTATTTTAATTTTTCAAAAAAAATCATTAATATTATTACGTCGTGTTAGTTTACGACATTATTCTTTTATAGTTTAATAATACATCGTTTTTTTAATATAATTGCAATTTACTATTGTCGTGCCAATAATTCATAATTTGGGTAATATTTTTGACTTGCAATCGAGTGCTAACTAATCAGTTAATCCTGCATAAATTCTGTAACGCCAGTGGCGAATGCCAAATAAACGAAAAACGATAAAGAAATGTGGTCTGGATAGCCACAACGTCATAAAACGGGTTCCTGTTGAATCCCCACTTCTCTTCCCTATGACGCATTGATGAGGCCGCGCGCGCGACAAGTGTCTAGGTACAGGAACGCGGCCCGGCAATTCCAAAGCATCACGAATAAATGGCAATAATATATTCTACCCTAACCAACAGTTCTATAAAATTGATCGGGTATTTCGTGTGCAATCTATAAATAAAAAAAAGCTCACACCAAAGACTAACCAACGCTGTTACCAACAACTCTAAATAAATAAAAAAATAAAAACAGCTGTAAAAAAATTAAAAAAAGTTCTACATCTGCCGGGGTTTGATCCACCACCCGTCGCTATAGAATCAGCAGCCTCAACCACGGAGCTACACGTTGCTTCCATAACTAGACTCTATTGAAGCATTACTTTCTTCTGCTGTTCCAATACGCATGCGCCACCGCCGCGCCGCCAGTTGATGCTTTAGAATCGCCGGGCTGCGTTCTTGTACCTTGTACCTAGAAGCTTTAAATAATTTGTGATTTATCTATTTGTGTACAGTGCAATTTGGATCATTTTAAGTAAAGGTGAACTGGTAAGTACTTTATTTCAACAACTTTTAAATGTAGACTAGTAGATATTTCCTGTAAGAGGCATCCTAACCTAAAAATACATTTACTCAACTACCAGACAATTTAGAAGTAAATAAAAATCTAAAATAATAGCCGTATCCTATCAATTCTCACTTGGATTGTGAAAACTGTTGAAATAAACCTGATGTTTAATTAATGTCAATATTTTTCATATTTTTACGTAGGTAAATGGAAACGTTGGGCCAATATTGGCTAAATATAGAATCTAGTTAGTAAAATTCTGGAGCATTTTAAAATCGCGCGGTTCCAAGTATGGTGAACCTATTAGTTGCCTAGATATTTCACGTTTTTACATTTTTTTTTTGATCATTTAATATTTAGACCATATTAGATGTAAATAATTATTTATATAATTTAATAACAATTATAATTAAGAAACGTCCTAACCTAAATATATTTAATACATTATCACTGAACTACAAAAGAGAGTTCAAATGTTGATAAAACCTAAAATATTACAAATCTTACCCTACCATGTCTCCCTAGAATAAGTTTAGATTATGAGGTTGCTTTCATCAAATTAACTGGCTGATGAAACGCTTATAAAATGTCTTATTTTGAAGAAGGAAAACAGAAATGTTGAGCCAATATTGGCTAAATATAGCTATACTGGTATACTTGTCAATAAGGTATGTTTTAACTATCGCCATGTAGGTGCAAGGTACACAAAATGAAAAATGTTATCCTAAGAAATTTTATTCACTATTAACCATTAATGCATCGTTCTGTGCAACCCCCAGATGAACTTTTTGGTATAAAGAGGACGATCCATGAGTTAAAGAAAGAGATGATATAATTTTAAAGAAATCTATGCGGTAATTTATTAAGTTGTACAGAGTAATGTACATATTTATTTTGCACAAGAAGCTCCTAGTTCGTGTAGTTAGAGCGTACCAACTTCTTATATTAAAGTGATGACTGTGTTTGGATTATATAATATAAACGAATGTTTAATGTTTATGCTTAGAATTCGGGATATTTTTAATTTTGATTGAGAGCATAATAATTGTAATGCAATAACTAGGGACATAATATTTCCTATATACAGATTAGCTATGAGGAAAAAGGTCCATATTATGTTCACATGAAACTGTTTAAAAAGTTACCAAATAGTATTAGGGAAATTTATAAATTAATATCATTTTAGCAGATATATTTTATTTGCCGGGTTTGAGTCGCTTAATTCTTTAATGTTATTTTACTTTATTTAACTTCCTAGACACCAGTTTTTTTAAATATTATTATAGTAAATTTTCTTTCACAGCAGCATCTATGGCGGAAAAAAGGTATAACGCAAAATACAAAAGTGTTAAAAGGTCTATGGAAGAAATAATTGCTAGCTCTTCTCACAAGAAAAAACAAACCATTCAAGAAGCTAAAAATATTTTAATTGAAAATATCGAATTTGAAGAGAACTGTAATGTCGAATGTGAACGCGTAATGGAAGTTTCATCACCTGTATCTCATTTAATCGAAAGCGATGAATCAGTAGAGGATGAATCAATAAGTTCTGTGAATATACTGCAAGATGGAATAATTTGTAGTAACGAGGCAAAGATGAGCGCTAGTGACAATTTTAGACAATTTTTATGCTCATGGGCCAAAAATTATTCTGTAAATCATTCTCAATTAAATAATTTGCTTAAAGGTTTGAATGAACATTTACACTTAGAACTACCATCTGACGCAAGAACGATATTAAGTACAGCACGCCAAACTCACATTAAACAAATGACAACTAATTCTGGAAAAACTGGCTCATTTTGTTATATTGGTATAGCAGTGAATCTGAAAAAGATTCTATCATCTAAGATTATTTTGTCAAAAATTAAAAGTGTTGAATTAAAACTTATCTTTAATATTGATGGTGTGCCTCTCAGCAAAAGTTCCAATCGACAATTTTGGCCAATATTAGGAAAAGTGTGGGTACCTAATTTTAACATATACCCGTTTCCAGTTGCTATTTTTTGTGGAGATGGCAAGCCAAACTTGACTAACTTTTTTTCTGAATTCATTACCGAAATTAACAACCTTCTGCATTCTGGAATAGAACTCGGTGGTATAAGATATTCTATAAAAATTTTATGTTTCACATGTGATGCTCCAGCAAGAGCTTTTGCTAAATGCATAAAAGGCCATAATGGAAAATATGGCTGCGAAAGATGTAATCAACAAGGCTTGTATCACCAAGGCAGAATGTTATTTAAAGAAACAAAAGCAGCATTAAGAACCAACGAGGATTTCAAAAACCAGATACAACAAGAACATCATCATGGGGTGACACCTCTACTACAGATCACAGACTTTAATTGTATATCTCTGTTTGTTCTCGATTCCATGCATTTGTGTTTTCTAGGGGTCATGAAAAAACTATTGAAATATTGGCATTCGGATACAGCTACGAGACTACATTTAAGGGACCGCACAAAAATATCGGAATACTTAGAATATACGGCACAATTTATTCCAGAAGAATTTAGTAGAAAATCCAGAGGACTTTACGAATTAGATCACTGGAAAGCCACAGAATTAAGATTGTTTGCCTTGTACACTGGTGTCATAGTTTTAAAAAATATTTTACCATCTAATCTTTATTATCACTTTGTCTTATATCATTCTGCCTTAAGAATATTGTTTTCAAATGATATTTCCGATCACAATTTAAATTGTAGCCGTAATTTACTTTTATCATTTGTAGGCGATTTTGAAAAAAACTATGGGAATACCTCAGTGATTTATAATGTACACAGTCTTATACATATTACCGATGATGTCCAAAATTTAAAAGTGAATTTAAATGATCTTAGCTGTTTTTCTTTTGAGAGCTATTTAGGAAAACTAGTAAAATTACTAAGAACACCAAATAGACCTTTAGCTCAAGTGGTTAAACGCTTATCGGAAACTCAAATTTTTTTTTATATTCCCAATACTAATAACACAGAACTACAATTTAAGAACTGTTTGTTGACTTCAAATAACTTTAAAGATTCGTTTATAATAATGAAGAATAATAAAATTGCAAAAATTAAGTTAATTCGTAACAATGAGTTAACTGTCAATAAATGTTTGGGTCAGAAGGATTATTTTTCCTATCCATTTCCTTCGAGAACTATTGGTATACATCAATTTCATGAAATCAGCAATATAGAAATTAAATGTAAAATTTCCGACATTAAAAATAAACTACTTGTAATTAAAGAACTTAATAAAAGTGCATATGTAGCTTTTGAACTGTTGCACACAAGTTAAAATCTTACACAAAATTATTCAGTTTTCTTAAATAAAATATTTGTTCTTGTGTCGTTGTTTTCAGTTACTATGTTCTATACTTTGAAGCCTTTTTTATCATTTTAATCAACTATTAAAAATTACTAATTAAATCATCTAACTAGGGAACTGATAGCCACACTGACAATATATCAGACATGGCATATGCTCTCCGAATGATTAAAAGATCATTAAAAATATAAAAAAATAATTTATTGGAAATCTGACGTTATAAAATATAATTTAGTTTATTGTTACTATATACTTTCACTTTAATAACTTATTAAACGTATTAGGGCATTGGACCGTTTGTGACATTCGATATATTATCATAAAATTTAAAATATTCTAAACACTTGATTATTTAAATTTTGGTTAATTTATTTATTGTAATTAAAATAATTATCGATATATAATATATACCAGCTCTAAATTCTTCTGAGAGAAAATTTAAATATTTACGGGTGTATATCTAATTTATGTAAGTTATTATAATGAATTTATGACATTAGGTATTTAATAAAATCTGTGTTATAAAAGTATGGGATATATTATATGATTAATTATTTCCTTCTTCGACCCTTACTTTGCATTGTGTTTAGATTAATCATTAGATAATTATGATGTCCTGGGATTTGGTTTTCTGGGCAAATAAGGAAGCTGTTGACTATATTCCTTCAAGTTGGGCTCTTGATGAAGTAACTTATAAATGGCCCCTAGGAGTTTCACAAGAAGTAAGACAAGGCTTAATTGATACATGTGATCCATTAAAAAACATTAAGTATCGAACAAGCAGAGGGATAGCAAGAAAAAAAGGAATAACTGACTTACAAAATGCCAAGACCTTATGCGAGAGAGCTCTATATACTTCTTCTGTAGATACTACGACCGACGCTGAAACTCCACAAAATTTGGATAATGATAGCAGCGATGACCAAAATGTAGAGCCTCCTGAAAAAACTGTCCGTAAGTTTAGTAAGTATCAATGCGTCTAAACTACTTTGCTAACCAGTTTGTTGCTGTTTTTTAGGTTTCAGTATATTTAGAAAGTCGCGTGAAACTCCACCGGGTAAGTAAAACAGGAACAATTATTGTATATTTATAATAAAAGCATATGTGTGTTTGACTTAAAGCTTTTACACCGCCGATTGCAACAAAATCTTTGGGGAGTGAAAATACCACTGACAGCCCTAAAAGTCAAAACACAGGTTTAAGTAAGCTATCATATAACAGCGTTAATAGTCAGAGAAATAGTAGTGATGATGATGATTTACCACTTAAAGAACTTGTGGGTATGTTTGCATAAAATACTATTTTATCTAATTTAATAACCAATTTTCTTGCAATTTTGTAGTCCCCAGTACATCCTCAAACTTTCATGTAACTGCTGAAGGACCCGACGGTAGGTCAACCTTATTTTAAAGTTTTCATATCTTTAATTATTGTATTGCTTAATTCTAGATTTTACGCCAAGCAAAAGGAAATCTTTATTTCAAGAAAATTTAAATATCAAAAAATATAAAGTACGTTGTATGGCTGAATCACCATCGGTTTTGAACAATGGTCAAAGGGAATTAGACACAAGTCCATTTGAGCCGTCAGTAGCTTTAACAGGTAACATATATTGACGAAGATCACTTATATGTTGTAGAAATACCTGCTAGAACCAAGATAACTTAGGCGTTTATGTATATTTTTAGTTTCTGAGAGATTGATGTTAAAAGAAATAAAAAAGTTGAATTGGGAAATACAGGATATGAAAAAAACAGTAAACAAGATTCAGGACCTGTTGCTCACAAATAACATGATTAATATTGAAAGTTCTAGTGAAGAACCTTTTCAACTACCAATTAAGAACCAGGCTTTACTAGAATCTATAGAGCAGCATTTAGAAGATGAGAAAAATATTGAACTTTTGGTAATTATAATTATTTGCAGATTATACTCGTATGAGAAACAAAATGTAAAGCTTATCGAATTGTTTATTTTAGGCTCAACGATTATACCTTTGTGGAGGGGACAATACCCACAAATCTGTTTTTTTATTAATGAAAAAACTGTTTTCCAGAGATTTAGCAATGCTCTATTCTGGATCAGGAAAGAAGGGAAAATTATCATTTCAGAAGTTGTCATGTTATAAGGCTGTTATAAGTATAAATTTTAAATTGTTTTGATAATAAATTGCAATTAACAAAATTTTGCTTTGTGTTTCATAGAAGCTGTTCGGAAACGTTTTCCAGGCGCCACGGATGCAGATATTAACAAATCTATATCTTTGTATTTGGCAGGAGCAGCAGACAGGGAAGGAGGACGTAAAAACAGAGATGCCCAATAATTATACATAGCTATTTTGTAACAGAACAATATTTTTCGTTTTTTATAACAGTTTATTTTTCATTATTTTATTTTATATAGCAATATATTATGGTTTTTGTTGATGTAACGTTTTATTGAATCTTTTCCTAATATTTACTTCCCGAATCTATACAACATATTGGTTATAAAGAAGTGTAGATTTTTTTTATATTTCTTTTATTTTTAAAACATATAATATATATCATTCTCATTCGAAAATAATGTTCCACTGTATATATAAAACATACAACAACTTGCATAAAATGCATTGACTTTTCGAACTATCAAGTGACCATAAAAAGTTTCCAGGGAGTTTCCTATTCCGAATCTTGATTATGTGGTATGTACATAGGTTCAATGTACAGAATAAATATTGGTCCAAGATTTGCAAAACATAATAGAAAAATATAAGTAAATTATGTTGGACCATTATTGAAAAAATACATTATGTCTATAAATATAGTAAATATAGGATAAATATTAAATACCCATATTGGATCAATATTGATATTTAACAAAGGATAAATATATGAATGCTATATTTTACCATTAAAAAAAAATCTCGCCTTTTCTTTATTGGGCCAATATGTAAATATATTATTTTACCAATGTTGGTGTGCTACTGGGGATAGATATATAAATTCGTGAAAGTGCAACACAGAAACGAAATCTACGAACGACAACGCAACCTTGTTAAACTTCGTGCTCAAATACAGTTCATCGCCACTTTGGTAGCTTCTCCTGTTTATAAACGTTGTCCAACATGGCTCAAGTAACACCAGAATTACTCCAACAACTATCGGGATTAATTGCTAATGCCATACGACAGTCTCAAATACCTGGAGAACAAACGTCATCAGCACAGCCTCGACCACCCCAATTCTCCATGCAAGCATATCGCGCTGCCAACGGAACTTCAATCATGGACTACTTTACACGGTTCACCTGGGCGCTCAATCTGAGTAAAATCCCTGAAGAACAACATTCTCATTATGCCCGTGTCTATATGGGTTCTGAGCTCAACGATGCCTTAAAGATCCTTGTCACTCCTGAAGATCCAGAATCTTTAACATATACTCAAATTCAAACAAAACTTACTGTTCATTTCGATGCAACGTAATAAGTTTGCTGAAAGTATCAAATTTCGAAGCATCGTTCAAAAACCAGGAGAATCTATTACTAGTTTTACCTTAAGACTGCGACAAGCGGCAACCTATTGTGAATATGAAGCATTCCTCGACAGAATGTTGATCGAACAAATGCTCGCAGGTCTAGAGTTAAGAGAAATGTGTGACGAAATCATCACCAAGAAGCCAGAGAACTTCACCGCTGCATACGAAATTGATCAAATAATGGCGAAATTGTTCCATAATGGAACAAAGATATTATACTGAAAAAAATATTGTTAATAATATTTATGAAAATTGATTATTAACTGTTGTTTCATTGGGGCAATGATTTTTTTAATATAATGATTTGTTAATCATAGATCGATGTCCGATTTATTAATACTATGAATCTAATTTCATCAATATAATGAAAATCTGGTTATTAAATTAATGTAAGATTTTCATTAATATAATGAACGCGTTCATTGTCCCAATGAACGCGTTCTTTATTTTAGTGCTGAAACTTTAATAAACACATATTCATTATATTAATGTACTAAATCATTGATTAATGAGTTGTACATTGTGACAATGAACAATGTTATTAATACAACGAACACACTACATTATATTAATGTACGCGGTTATTAATATCATGAATAACATATTAGGGCTTAAATGTCCGCCATGTTGATCGGTTACTTTGGCACTTTAATAACGTCTGTGTGATTGAGTTATTCACTGAGACTTTAGAGGGGTAAGTGTTCTCTTCAATATTTTAAATAAAAGTCCTATCGTATTGTAGTTTGTGTTGTCAAATCAAATTCCGCTGTGTGAGATCTCTGGTGTGAGTATTCATTAAAACAACGGTTTCCAAATATGTTTCAGAAGATAAAAAACAAAAAGAAGAAAAACAAGTCGAGGCATGGAACTGATTATGGTAAATTCGAATGTTCTTTTAATATTTGGCATTTTAATTATTTTGATATATGTCTTTTAGAACCGGAAGATGTTGAGACCTGCCTTCAAACCATCAAATTTGAGAATTTAACATCGGATCCACTTGATGCGACTTGAAAAGCCTGTTGCAAATTCGTCTAGACGTTATCATGTCTAAGGATACAGCTAATATAATGAAGAAATGGTCTTTTTATAGAAATTCCTTAGGATATCGGCTGGTAAATTAATTTTCTTATTATAATTTACCCTAAAATTAATAATAACATTACTATTCTCTTCGTCAATTCGATTTTTTAAATTTTTAATTTGTATATGCTATATCGAGTTTAATAAATTATTAGTTTATTGCACTTGTTTTTTATTAATAATCCCTAATGGAAAAATTTACTGTGCTCGTAAGTAAGGCACTATTAGTAATTTTGTTACCTTTGTAGCTAAGGGCTTGTTCAAATGGAAATCTATTTATAGTAGAACTAGCGTGTACCAGCGACTTCGTTCGCTTCGAATTAATCATTTATAATGGTGATGATAAAGCAAAGCAAGAATTTCCATTAACATACAAACTGGATACAATTTTGTCACATTTATGTCAGCATGAGAAAAAACAATATGGCGATATTATTATATAACTTGGTAATATTTGAGGGGTAGTTTCATCTCGTTGGAATTTGACTTTCGTAAAATCCGTTTGCCAAAAATTAGCTTTTTACGTCAAGCAATTTAAGCAGAATCGTGGTTAAGAAATTACCCAACTTTATGGAACACCCTGTATGACTTTTTAAAAAATTTCAAAATATGTAAAAAACCAAATAAATTATGCTTGTCCAAGCGTTTTCCCGAAAGACTAACCGTTTTTTAAATAACAAATATTGTAATATTTGAGGGGCGTTTTCACCCTCTTGGAATTTGAGATTCGAGAAACCCCTCCTTATCGAATCTACACCCCACAGTCAATCCGTTTGCCTAAAATCAGCTTTAAACGTCAAGCAGTTTAAGCAGAATCGTGATTACTCAATGGTCATATTTTATGAAACACCCTGTATTTATAAAAAATCTTAAAATATGTAAAACAACAAAATAAAATATACGTGTTTAAGAGTTTTTCCGAAAAACTCACCGGTTTTTAAATAAAAAATATTTTAATATTTGAGGGATAGTTTTATCCCCTTAGAATTCGAGTTTCGAAAAATCCCTTCTTATCGAACCTCTACACCCTAAAGTCAATCTGTTTTCCAAAAATCAGCTTTTTACGTCAAGCGCTTTAAGCAGGATCGTGATTAATCAATGACCAGATTTTTCGAAACACCCTGTATACATTTTTAAAAAATCTTAAAATATGTAAAAAAAACAAAATAAAATATACGTGTTTAAGCGTTTTTTTTTTTTTCGAAAACTTGACCGTTTTTTAAATAAAAAATATTGTAATATTTGAGGGGTGGTTTCACCCTCTTGGAACTGGAATTTCGAAAAATCCCTTCTTATCGAACCTCTACACCTTAGAGTCAACCTGTATGCCAAAATTGAGCTTCTTAATTTGAGTGGTTTGAGCAGGATCGTGATTAATCAGTATGTCAGTCACTTAAGGATTTTATATATTAGTATAGATTATTTCAGGTAGTTGGCTGGGAAATGACTATCAATGACATTTCATATCAATGACAGCAATCTTCATCATCGATTATACGGTGTAACAAGAGTTACTAATAGTGTCGACTTTTAAATGTATAACTAAATAGGTTATGAAATTATTTCATTGTATTAATGATACGGTTCATTAATACAATGAAATTATTTCATTGTATTAATAATACGGTTCATTAATATAAGGATTTAGGTACATTATATTAATGAAATCTGTTCATTGTACACATAAATGTGCTCTTCAAATTAATAAACACTCTTCATTGATTTAATGAACTTAAATTTCATAGAGTTAATTAATTACTTTTCATTGTGCCAATGAAATCGAATCGTTCATCGGCTCAAAATTAATGATTTAAGTCATTATATTAATGAACTTTTTCATTATATTTATGTCGACTTTTGGTTCAGTGTACGTATCTCAACGATCTTCATGTAGCTCATCTAGGCATAGTCAAGATGAAAGGATTGGCACGTTCTTTTCTTTCTTGGCCAGACATAGACGCAGACATTGAGAGACTTGCTAAGTCTTGCACCGCATGTGCAACACAAGCGCATGATCCACCCAAATTTCGTGACCACCATTGGGAGTACCCAAAGGCACCATGGGAACGTATTCATATTGATTACGCAGGTCCAGTAGCCGACACGATGCTGTTAATCGTTGTCGACGCTTAGAGCAAATGGGTTGAAGTAAAACCTACAACTCTTACCACAGCAGCTTCAACAATCGCTATTATGGACAACCTCTTCACAGCATATGGTACACCAATCACTGTTGTTTCAGATAACGGTAGACAATTCATTGCAGAAGAATTCAAGACTTTCCTGAAGAATAGTGGAGTGAAATACCACAAACTATCAGCACCATATCATCCATCAGCAAATGGACAAGCGGAACGGTATGTGCAAACAGTGAAAGACGTACTATATACAATGAAAACTACGAAAGCAGCACTACAGAGTAATCTTAACCAATTCCTTCGACAATATCGCAAAGCACCACATTCCACCACAGGACAGTCCCCAGCTCAATTGTTCTTAGGACGAGACCTTCGCACTCGCCTCAATCTAACGAGACCTGATGATATATCAACGAAAGTGATGATATATCAACGAAAAACAACGAGCTGAAATGCAATCAACTTTGCGCACGTTGGAAGATGAACAAAGAGTGTATTTCCTATCTGGAAACCAGAAGCTCGACAAATGGCTCCCTGGGACAATTTCTAAACGAATAGGTGATCTCCACTATGAAATCAACAATGAAGATAAACAAATAAGACGTCATATTGACCAAATAAGTAATAAATAATATTTCAAGGACCAATAGAAGTGCCAACAAATGATCGTCAACGCCATATTCGATACTATGAAGGACCACCAATTGTACCAGCTACCAGAACATCAATTCGTGAACCAGTGATACTAGAGAATACACCTCATACTCCAATGATACCACGAAGATCAAATCGAGTGATTTGTCCACCACTGAAATATTCACCAAATTGAAAAGAGGGAGGAATGTTATATATTTATCGGAGTACACCTCCACCTGTGAATACCTGAAAAACTGTCAAGCTCATGTCATAAATTTAGTTGTCAATAATTTGTAATTTTGAAATGGTATTTTAAATAAAAGTAGAGTTTAATGCACTTTAAATATCTATAAACCCCCCAAGAAACATAATATTTAAATATATAAATATTGCCTTATTAAATTAAAAGAATATCAATAATCCCATCAAAAACACAGAATGTGAAAAAAATCCAAATCTCGCAACACAATTCTTCTACTATAAAAAATGTGAGATCTCATGTAAAACCATGTCAGTTTATTTTATTTAGTCTCTCTTTAAGCACGTATTCAATAATTTTGTTATAAATTATTAGTATAGTTCTTTTTGTAGCCTATCTTCCTATTTTTTTCTAGGGTACATCATTAAAAATAATATTAAATAAGTTTCACTAACAATAATTCATGAACTTTGAATTATCGTATAAAGTCAGACAGACAGTATCAAATGGATTAATTCTAGTTTAACGACTTGTGTTTCCGACTTTCGTTCTAACCCAAATATCAACTTTAAAAGTGTTCAATTCATGATTTTACCATTGCTATTAAAAATCAAGTTTTTGTCAATTTTACACATATTTTATTTTTTATCTCGAAAACTATAAGAGGTATAGGTTACTATAATAGAAAAATTATGAGATGTGAGAGTTGTTTCCAAAAATGTAATAATACTGGGTGTTTCATTTAAAATAACTAAAATGCTACCATTTGTCAAATGATCCGGCAACACTGTAACGCTGATAATAATTTAGGTAGATAGAGCACGTGCCTTTAAATAAAAATCCAAATTTTCGAAACAATCCTATTACCGGTCCTCCTAGTACCATCGCCGGAAAGTCGGTTACCGGTAGCGGCTAGATAGCTAACTTTTGACTCATAAGAATATTTCGAGATTTGTCATTTTTTCCTTCCATTATAAACTTAAAACTACCTAAAATTCGAAATTTATTATAATTTTGATGACGGCGAGTGAGTCACTGGCAAAGTTTGACTAGAAAAAATTCATAATCTTTGAAATATTGTTTGTACATTGATATACAAATAAAATTAGAAAAGACCGCTTCGATTAATCCAGTTTTCTACATTTTTCTCGATTGGAAATTCGGTTGCCATTAGCGGCTAGACAGCTAACTTTTAATCCATAAGGATATTTCCAGATTTTTTATTTTTCCTTCCATTATATAAGCTTAAAGCTACCTAAAATTCAAAATTTAAAATTACTGTCTAGAAGTACCTTAGAATTTTGATGATCTGTTAGTGAGTCAATGTCGAAATTAAAGAAATTTGACAAGCGATAATTCATAACCTATGAGGTTTAATTACTAGATATTTTGGTTATCTAGCCAGCTATAGTATGTCTTCATGTGTAGTGAAAATTAATATTCTTGCTTTATCCACAACGAAGTTACGTGGTCAAAAGTATCGCTAATACCTTCGTGGAAAGGATGGTACGGTCGTGCCACCAGATATGTCTTAACTCTAGTAATGTATTATAACCATTAGAATTTGTGTCTAATATTATATTTAATTAAACAGTTACATATTTAATATTAGCCTAAAATACATCCGGAAGATTAAAAATATTTTCTGTACCTTTGGGTGGATTAATTTCCTGAAAAATCAAAGAATCAACAATCAACGAATTTAATAGTTTATAAAATAAAATGTCCTAATTGGATCACTTTTTCATCCAAATTAAATATTTTTTTACAAAATATAAACAAACAAAAGTATGACTCTAATTAATTGCTTCGTAATTGGAAAATACATTTTTATTGTTTTTTTTTATTTTTTTTATTTAAGGAGTTTTTGTATCGCCAATTAAATTTAAAAATAAATAAACGACATTTCCCGTTCAAAAATATCTAAAGCTGTAATCACTGAGTAAAACTCATTAATTTTTGAATAACTGACAAAAATAATTGGCATAAGAATTATACCTTTTGATAAGTATACCGGGTGCGTCTCAAAAGTGGCTCACCCCTATAACTTTTTTATTTTTTTAGATAAAATAACGAGATTTGGTATGTTAATATATGATATTTTTAATTAGGATTGAATGACGTATTCAATTGTTTTCGATCACTTCCCTTTCACCGGAAATGACTACAACTTTTGATTTTTAAATGGAACTCGGAATATGATTAAAAATACGATTTGGACATCTTTTAAGCTTCCAGAATAAGACGGTAAAAACATTAGTCGATCAAATCTGTTTTTCCAAGGTTCCTTGATTAAAAATTAGTGTTTTTAACACAGCTATGGCACTCTAGATTGAAATTTAAAATACAATTTGTTTTTGAGCGAATATGTCAAAAGTTGACATATCATATGTCATTCTATTCAGAGTATCATTTTCTATCGAATAAAGTAGAAAAATAGCGAGGATGCCATTTAAAAATCAAAAGTTGTAGTCATTTCCGGTGAAAGGAAAGTGACCGAAAACAATTGAATACGTCCAATCAATCCTAATTTATGTCATATACTAACATACCAAATCTCGTTTTTTTTTATCTAAAAGAACTAAAAAGTTATAGGGGTGAGCCACTTTTGAGACGCACCCGGTATTATACACTACTCAAAACAATAACCGCATATTTGAATAAAAGTAATTATTACATATTTCTAAATGAAGCATGCATTTTTCTGCCTTTCTCTTGTGAGTTTTTTTAGGATAATTAGAGTACGCACTGACAGGCAATTTTTAATCGGCTGACTAATTAGTTGTATATTTGGAACCAATATATTCTTATAGAGCCGCGCTCACATACAATCAAACAGTCGGCCGATTGGCTTCATAAGTATGTATTATTTTCACTTTTGCAACTAAATAGTAGGCCGTTAAGTTAGGTTAGAACCTTAAAAATAACGATTTATTCTAAAATTAATTGTTGAAAATACATAAAATTTTAATGGCGCATAATTTTTTAGGGCCTATCATATTTACATCTCACAGAAAAAATTTCTCCGCGGACATAATTATCTTGAGAATCCAATAATCCCACTTCTTACTATTATTACTTACTAAACTTATTTACATTTCTAAGGAAATGCATATATGTAGGTATTTCATCCATATTGGATTAATGTTCAAACGGCTATGCCAATTATTACACTTGTTTGTCTTCCTGGTTCATCATTGGGAAATATTTATCATTGATATATATTTACATATACATATTAAAAAGAATAATACTTTACCTTATTCTTTCTCTTTCCCTTGTTAAAATGTAGGTAGTACAAACTAGGACTACTTTTAGTAAAATTCACCTCTATTTTACCATGTTGACCTCAGGTCGGTTATTTTTGACTTCCTAGCCCATATTTCATACAAAACATTATAACCTGTTAACCTGTTTTTAACTTCCAAATTACTTTAGTTTTATTCCCCATTTTGGGAATTTGAACGTCAATTCTTGGAAATCTCGACCAATTTCCAGTTGGTTAATAATAGTCCAGGTTGTCAATTTAACGTAATTTTACCTTCAAATGTTTGTTGGGAAGTCTTCGACTTAAATCATTTTCTTTGCAATCATGTCATTTTCGTAAAAACTTAAATTATTAAATTATTTTCGTAAAAACTTATTTATTAAAATTAAGTCGTTTTTTGATTTAAATTATGATGGTCTGCGAGTTAAGTCGGCAAAATACCTTAAATAAAAATAATTACCGTCAAGACAAGATTAACAAACTGTTTATTTAATCTAATTCAGGTATTATTAAATTCCAATAAAATATATATCAGTGATGTAGTTAGTGCTAACCAACCTAACCCAAAGAATGAAAAAAAAACGCTTTATTGTACAAAAATCCAAAACAGCTTCATCGACAAAGCGTTCACAAAACAAAAAAGCACAAAAGCAAATATACAAATAATAATAATAATAATAAAAAAAATGTCACAATACAAATCAATTCAAAAAAATTTACGTCATAAAATTACAAATAAAACATATATGGACATTGCAGAACACAGGCGTATCTAGAAAATTTTACAAAAGGAAAACTGTAAATGGATAAAATCAGGTTATATATCATAAAATCAAGACTTGTAACTCTTGATAAATAATTAATAAAAAAAATAAAAACTCTAAATATTAAATACTAGACCATTAACCAGTGTGTGAGATGATCAAAATTTTAAAATTTAAACATCAACAAAAATGTCGTTTACCGCATATAGGGCTCTCTCCAGTAAGTATGATTTCAGAGCTTTGCGAAATGCGTGAAAGAATGAAAGTGACATGATATTTGAAGGCAAATGATTGTACATTTTCTTGGCATTGTACAGTATTGAGCCCTTAACTAGTTCTGAGCTTGGGGTTGGCAGATAAATATCGTGCTCCGCATTCCTAAGTGGATAGTTGTGAGAAGGCCTTTCCGGAATAGAGAATATGTGCTTGCGGATTAAGCAAACAGATTCAAAAATGAATAAGGAAGGAAGAGTCAGTATTTTGAAATTTTTAAAGAAATTCTGGCAGTGAGTTCTACTGTTTAGTCCCAATAAGTATCGATCTGCTCTCTTTTGAAGTTTGAAAATACGATCAAATTTTGTCGC